TATATGTGTATGTATGTATGCTATATACAACTGAGGAATAAGTTTATTACATAACCTTATTTGTGTTGATGTATTTTGCATATGAAATACGCCCGAATGGTCAATTTTGTTATTCTTTTATCATGCCATACAAATGTTGTTTGGGCTCAAAGTTATATACGAGTACAGTGGTGTGCAGAAAAAAATACATTAACATTTAAAATATACAGTAGTTTATATATTTTAGTGTTTCTATTAAAGTTTAGTTTGCTTGCGCATCGTTTAGATGAATATATAAAAGTATAAACTTGAACCAGTTTGAAGGAAGAAAATTATCCCTATTTCGACGAATATCCTTTGCTATATAGTGTTATTTTATTTAACATCTTTAACTCTATATTAAAGCAATGCTACACAAAATTCAACCAGTTTTAGGGAAATTATTTAATTTAGGGATATTTTTTTACCAAGATCCTGCACTAATTGGGAATATTTCTTTCAATATCACTCACTTTCAGTTCCCAAACCATCGCAATATAATCCTTTGCAAAATGAAAAAAATCACCGAGTTTCAAGGAAATTTAAGGGACAATTTAAGGATATTTTTGATCCAAGATGGCTTAATATTTAGGGATATTATATTACATATCTCTCATTTTAAGTTTCAAACTCGCCTCAAAATAAACCTTTACAAAATCAAAAAATTCACCCAGCTGGAAGGTAATCAGTTAACTTAGAGATATTTTTGTTTACTAAATAATTCTTTACAAAATCAAACAATTAACTCAGTTTGAAGGTAATCAGTTAACTTAGGGACTTTTTTTTTTACTAAATAATTCTTTACAAAATCAAAAAATTTACAGTTTTAAGGTAATCAATTAACGTAGGGATATTTTTGTTAATTAAATAATTCTTTACAAAATCAAACAATTTACTCAGTTTGAAGGTAATCAGTTACTTAGGGATATTTTTATTTATCTAAAATTTATTTTCAATATCTCTGACTTTCAATTTCCAAACCGTTATGAATTATTTATCTACAAACTCAAAAAATTTAACTAGTTTGAAGGAAATCAGTTAATTTAGACATATTTTTAATTAAGATTCCTCAACTTTAATTCTCAAATCATCCAAAACTATTCCCTTAAAAACTGCATAGTTTCAGAGAAATCAGGTAATTTTGAAATATGCAAGATTTCACATTTTCCAGTTCCAAATCAATTGAGGGAAATCTCTTTTAAAATTCCCAGTTTCAAAAAAAAATCAAATAATTCAGGGAACTTTATATGGAAAACGGATGGAAGATTCCTCACTTTAAGTTCCTGAAACATCCCTAACATAATCCTTTAAAAAATACCCAGTTTGAAGATCAAGATTTAACAATCAGTTAATATAGGGAAATTTTTATACAAGATTACTTAGATTAAGTTCCCCAATCATCCTAAAATAATGTTTTAAAAAAATACCCAGTTTAAAGGCAATCAGTTAATTTAAGGATATTACTTATCTAATATCTTTTAATATTTAGGGATATTTTATATTCTAACAAAATTACGTCTCTTGTGCGGTTCTGAATCTTTTACCATTAGCAAAGTGAATCGAATGTGGAAGCTAGTGAATTGACTAGTATAAAAAATTTGAAAATCAGGAACCCTTTAGGAAGGCTGAAGAATAAGATAATAACCTACTTTTTATCAAAAACACCTGCGCAGATTATATAATAATTTACACAGCCTTCTCATTCCGAGAGAAGATACTAACGTCGTTTCTCAACTGGCTGAATGCTCTTGAATTTTTAACTAAATTATTGTTCCACACTTGGAGTATAGAAAGGATTATACGAGTTTGATAGGTGTATGAGGTAAAAGTTCAAACTTTATTTCAAAGGAAACAAGACCGTAATCTGGATTTTGTCATTAGTAAAAACTCTTCGAAATGTGCTTAAAGAACTATTAGCGGCAAAGGAAAGTGAGTATAGGCATGAAGGATCACTTAGTTCCAGATAATTGTCGTGAAGTCTTAAGCAAAAGTAAGTAAAGCTTTAGCTGGAAAGAATCAGACTAGTAGATTACTTCTTTTTGCTTTCAAACTGAATTGTTGGTAAGACTTTTGTATAACAATTGCAGAGCAGATATACCAAGAATCTAACTTAAATCTTTCAGAGACGAAGTACTCTTCATTATGCTGGTCACTTTACACAACAAACGCATAGAGTCTTACATATCTGTTTATTCCATGAAAACTGCGGGACATTACACTCAACCATTGAGTTGGAAAAATTACTGATCAGCACACATTTTATACGCCAGACACAGTCAACAGTCTGCAGACTCGAAAATTAAACTTAAAAATTGTGACTGTACTAAATTGCGGTAAAAGTTATAGAAATGACGCAGCGCGAATAGTGCGACAGTGAAACATGTACAGTCATGGAACAACTTCTACACATAGCGGCGCTTGTGTGCACTTGAATATAACTAACGGTACTCAAATTTATAACCACACTTACACTTTTATGCGTATTTGATGTGGACCCATTTCAGCAACTTTCAAGTTAGTTTCAACACCAACAACAAAAACTACATATATAAATTCTACAAAGGTACAACAAGTACAAGCATGTAAATGGTGGCTGGAAGACAACCACTGTGCACTAAAATTCGGCGGCGTCAGTGTCTGCGCATCGTCGTCGGGGTCACTGTCATGTCCAGAGAGCACACCGAAAAAAACACAAAAAAAAAAAAACAATTTAATTTCACTTACATGTCTCTGAAGATGAAACAAGTGTGGCTGCAGTGTAAGTTGTTGCAAAGGGGAAGGAGCTGCAGTGGCGCAACGCATCAATAATATAAAACTAAAAGCAACACATTAGCTGCCGCAGGGTGAAAAAGTAGTGGGGCGCCAAGAAAGTGTACACAGTGTCCGGCGGCGCAATCACATGAGAACGGCAAGTCATCTTATTGTCACTTGGCCGCCGGCTATTGTGTCCAGCTGTACATTTTTAACTTTTTACTCAGCGCAGCGGAAGTGAAAGAAAACTTTTTCAAGAACTAAAAGTTGTAGTTGATTTTTTATGAGGGTTTCTTTTCATTTTTTGCGTTTTTTTTTTTTTGCATTCCCAAGTGACGTCCATTAAAGGTATATTTACAGTTGTACAACATGCGTGTTTCTTTTGAACTATTAGGGTTACCCATTCCCATTAATTTAAGTACATACATATGTTGTCAAAAAATGACAATAAACGTTGGTTGAATTTTTATGTCACTTCTGAAGTATTTTTTTACAGTTCTACACGTTTATAATAATTCTACAAGTAAATATTCGAAAACCAAAATTATGAGTTAGTATTCGGTCTTGATACTACCTGGATAAGATCTTGTACATCATTAGGCCAAAACAAGAAAAAAAAAACGTTAACTTTGGCGGCACCCAAGCTATAAAACTCTACACAGATGCTTTTTTTATACTATAAAAACTTTTATAGCTAAATCTAAAAACGTAACCGGCCAACGGTTTCCAACCAATGGAGAACGTTTTACCTTCTAGCATCGTTGTTTGATATAAATAACCTTTAGGTCGAATCAGGTTTACCTAATAAGGAAAAAAGATTTTTTATGAAGATATTTATTTTGATTTTGAACGGTTAGTTTATATGGTAACTATATGTTAAAGTGGTCCGATATCGGCGGTTCCGACAAATTAGCAGCTCATTAGGGAGAAAAGTACGTGTGCAAAATTTTCGATGTCTCATAAACAGAAATAGTGCGTATAGTTATACAAACAGACGGATATGGCTAAATTGACTGAGCTCAACTCAACTCAGTATAGATAGCTCTAGCTGTCAAAGTAAATACTTATATTTGACATTAATGTTTGGCTAGCCAAAGGTGCTGATCTATACTCTGAAGAGTCGTGTAACGGAACCCGACTTCTTTCATTAATAAAAAAAAAATAGTGTAGTTACGAAATGGTTCCAGCAGAACTACCCATAAACTGTGCGGCATCACCACGTTACTGGGCTGATGATGATTGTGATGAAATAGGTGTGTCCATTAGTCTAATAAGTTAAGTTGGTAGACTCACTTAGACTAAAAACAGGATACGACTGGCCAGTTGGAAAGTAACATTCAGTACAATAGCGGCATGAAAAGTTATACTACATATATATGATGAAAAATAAAAATTTCACCAATGGTCTTCATAAGACGCAGACGCGGTGGCCACCTGTCCGCAATGCCGCTGAGATCCCAAATACCACAAAAGTTGCAAACCAATAAGACTAAAGTTTAAAAAAAATTTCGATTTGAAATAAAAAGTTCCATACCGCTAGAAAACGCAGTGTAATACGGAAATTTATTTAAGTATTTATAACTGCCTGCAGAAGATCCTGCTGGTAGAATAAGCGTGGATCCGCCCACTTTTGGGTGAATAACCATATCTTGGGATCTGCTTAACCGATTTCAACCAAATTCGGTACATAAAATCCTTTTCATATTTCTATGTTATAGTGTGAAAATGGGCGAAATTGGATTACAACCACGCCTATTTCCCATATAACCATTTTAAATTCCATTTGATTTTTTCACTTTCCACTATGCAAACCAAGCATAAATAATTGTATTGCGGTAAAACTTTGCGTGGGTAAAGCGTTGAAAGTGTGCCACCTTATAACCAAAAATTGTCTAAATTGAAAAAACTGTTCAAGCCCCTAGGTACTGAATATGTGGACCCCAGTGCCTAAAACCGAACCGAAAATATCGGTCAATGTGAAGGATATATAAATGAAATTCATATAATAAAATTAATAAATGAAACTCTCGATAATAGTGTGTCTTTGTGTCAAAAATGGGTTGAATCAGATCAATACTTCCTTTAATATAAAATTTTGCCAACACCTGAAGTAATTTTAAAGCTCAAAGCCCGAGCCTTGCAAGTTGCGTGAGTATAAAGTGTTGGGTTACGCCCGAACTTAGAACTTCCTTACTTGTTTTATATTGTAATAGTACGAATCAGATACTTACCTTTTAAATCTTTATAAGCATTGAAGACATAACGAAGAATCTGAAATATCCAAAAAAAAAAATTAAATGTGAAAACACTTAAAAAATAATTAAATAAAATTTAAAAACAAGAGAAATTAAATAAATTGCGAACAATTTGCCACCAGCTCCAACTAAACATCCACATAACCTAAAAATAAGTAAGAAACCGCTTTGCTAAAACAAATACCATTAATACTAGAAGCAAAAACATCTACAACAACGTAGATGTCAACCCGCAACAAAAAAAGAAACAAAAAACATTCATTAAAAACTTCATTATCTCCAAAATGATGCGCTTCAAAATTATATTTATCTTGAGACAACAAAACTCGCACTCCAACATCATCGTCGCTCAAGGGCGTACCTGCCGCCATTACGCACTTACCAACCCTTCCATAATCAACAGTCGCTGCACCTCTCCCCCTAACCTGGCTGTGCTTTGCTGACACTTTATCAAATTTATTTGTCTTTTTCTTATGGAAAAAGTGAGAAAATTAAGCAGAGAAAATTATACAGTGAAATGTCAAAATGAGCAAAGCGAGCGAGCTGCCACAGCATTCAGATTTCCTGCGTAGACTACATACTCGTAGATGCTTGTCGAGGAGCGCATGCTGGAATGCCGGCAATCCATTAAGCGCACAAGGTGATTGCCACGCCGCAAAAGATGCCAAAAATTGTCATCTGTCTCAGCGAAAAATATTTGTTTGCTCAAGTTGCCGTTCAAAATTTAAGTTTGAAATTAAAATTTTCACATCGAGCACATAATTCTATGGCAGCCATGAAGTGTCTGCCAGAGCGAATGCTGTATGAATAACTCGATTTTCGAAAGGAAAAAGGCGTGAATGTCTGAAGAAAGTGAATGTATTAAGGAGCGCGTGAGTGAATGAGTATCAGCCTGGCTGTCTGTCTGTCTAATCGTCGGCCTCTTTGACTGGTGGCTACTGCTTAAGACAAGCGATTACTATCTGTGTATTGGTGTGCTTAATTGTGTCTTTCTTTTTGCTTTTATCGTGCCACCATACGCACACCGCGACACTTAAAGAAGCGCTTAAATGGTATGAAAAGAGTTAAATGTTGTTGCTGTTGGTGTTGTTAGTGTGCCTTTTGTGGCAATTGACGTTGGTGATGAAAATTAAGATGAAAGTTGGTTTTACCAGATCTTTGGCTTGTCTGTTTGTATGTCATTGCTACTTTCTTCTTTACCGTAATGCTTACTGCCGACACGTACGAAAGAAAATTAAAAGCGTTAAAGGTTGGATAAGCTGGAATAAAAGCGACAAAGTTAAGATGTTGCCGGAGATAAGTGTTTGCGAGTGTGAGAGTGTCATTTTAATAGGAAAAAGTGCTGATGTTGAGCGGCTTTAGGTGGAAGTAAGCGGATAGAGGGCGACAATACGCTATGCTGATTTTTCTTTAATAATGATTATGGTTTTGAAATTTAAAAAATATGTTCAGATCTTTAAGACTATATATATATATATATATAAGTATGTTTAAATATTTATAATGGAATTATATGTATAAGAGGATGAATTCGACTCTTTACCCCCAACAAGGTCCTCCACTGCTGTAGTGATTCCAATCTTCTCCGGATATTATCCGTACAATGACCTCTTAACGAAAAAAAATCAAAAACTGGCAAAATGGCCAAAAAAAAAGTTGCATTTTATCCAAAAGGTCTTTTTTGGCTTCGTCGTTCTTTTAAAAATAAACGTATTAAGCTGTTTGAACTGAGCTGCCAGACTTTAGAAGCCTATAACTCAAAAAATATTTGAGATATCGATTTAATATTTTAGTGTGTTATATTTAAAGGTATCGATATATGAAAAAAATCGATTTTTAAAAATTTCACACTAGGTGTGCTTCTTAAGAAAAGAAACCAATGAAATGGATATTAGCTTTTTCATAAATTAAAGCTACACTTTTGTATATCTCAGTACGAAAAAGCTTTGAGAAGAGAGAACAGAAAAAAAATAAAAAAGGTGGACGCCTGTTTTATATCCGCTCTGCAGACACAATCTCTAGAGGGAGAAGGTGATAGAGGGAGAGAAAGAGAGAAAAGGATAGGGACCGAGATAAAAAGAGACACCTACATATTCTTCAGGGATGGAAAGAGAGGGAAAGAAAGAGGGAATTTGCGATATCTTCTGACTACGGACACAGTCTTCAGGGAGAGAAAGAAATAGATGTAGGGAAAGAGATAAGGAAAGAAAAATAGAAACAGATGGAAAAAAAGATACAAGCACAGTCTTCAGAGAAAGAGAGAGAGAAAGAGAGAGAGTTGTGGAGAGAAAGATGCAGAGAGAGAGAACAACAGAGAAAAAGGAACAGAGACTCAGTCTCCAAAAAGATAAAGATAAAGAGAGGGAAAGAAGCATAATTCCAAAACAAATATACAATACTACACTCAGAAACAAACACTTTTCGTGCCAGGTATTAACTAATAGCTTTGAGAATCAACGTAGTACACACCTTTTGTCGATTATATATCTCAATACACTTATAACATCTGGTTTCTTTCTAGAAACTAAAAACACACCAACATTAGATCTGTTTAATTTACAAGGAGCCAAAAAAAAAATGGAAAAAATGCATATGCGAAAGATGTTCTACGGATCATTTTGAACAACTATGCCTACGAAAAAAAACTATGGGTCTAAAACCGATTTCGAGCAAACGATTTTTAAGGCGAAGTTCAGCCTTTAATCATTATATGTTGGTTCAACATACCATCCATTTTTAATATATAAGGTAAGAAATTCCACTTCCTTGCTTTTGCATTGAAGTCGAATTTGAATATCACCATAATCTCGATTCAACATATCTGAGGAGGTACGCAAAAATTTCACATTCCATGCAGATATTATATTTTATAACTAAAAGCCTTAATAAAACATATTTCCCTACTTCTTAAAAAGAATAATCTTTTTTGTATAACGGTACTCAAAACAAATATGATAAAAAGTAACTTTTAAGGACCAAAGCCGATTAACACACCAAAGTCCCTTTAACCATAACCTGATGCCACTTAAGCCACCACTTTTCAAAAAATATCCAAATACCAATAATATTTCCATCCACACATATGTACATACACTATTTAACTACTTGTTCCTTACCTCTTTTGAAAGTTATATGAGCACATCGGCAGTTACATATTTGAAGTTTTTCCATCACTCCTTCTATCACCCGACTTCCGGTTACTTTTTCAACTGATTCACGCTTCATGCACGAACTAGTTCGCACTATTTCTATCTTTAGTTGCAAATCCATCGATTTTTATGTTTAAGAAGATTCTCAAGGTATTATATATTCAAAGTACATATGCATGTATATGTCTATATGTACTCGTATATGTATATATGACTGCAAAGGTGTGGGTTTAAAATACTCGCAAAAGCCTTTCGTACAAATGTAAAACGAGTATATTCAGCCGAAACATATATGCATACATTTTCGAACACCTATAAACTCATGACGGCACATTTTCTCTCCCACTCAAGCATCCAGCACACGTGTGTACGCCGCTTTATTATTAAAGAAAAAAATCTATAAAAATGTAACAAGAAGGTCTTAAATCACGTTATCTGGGGCTTTACTCCGATTCCTGCTATTTATATACAAGAGTTGCCACATATTAGAGACCCTATGTATGCAAAATTTTGTTTCGATATCTTCAAGCTAATTACATGATGATGGATGTACCTATAAATGGTCTTAAGTATATAGGTAATAGGTAATTAAAAATGTGCTAGCGGGTCTTTCGGATTTTAAAACATTCTGTTGTAGTTAGTACAACGGGTAATGTAGCCTGTGTGATGTCAAATGTATCCAGAAGTGGGGAGGTTACAGCCATGGTAAATTTTCCTACTGATCCATAAGTATAGTCTCAAATATCGTCATATACTTTATAACGAAATTGGCATTTGTGTATACCCTCAAATTTATTGAGATAGATACATGACATATAGTATACAAATGATCAGGATGACGAGATGAGTTGAAACTGGGTGACTGTCTGTAAGTCTGTGCGTACAAGCGATAATTGAGTAAAATTGAGATATCTTAATGAAACCTGCTATATATTTATGTTCCTTGGCAGCCATGTAGGTCGGTATTGCCGTAAGCACTAAATTGAAGATACTAAACTGTAATTTAGTACAGTGGAATTGCAGTAG